GCCGCTAGATGGCGCCACAAATTTTCTCCATAAAATGACATTTTTTTTATTTTCTTTAATAATGGTCTCAGCAGGCTATAATTAGACTCGTTCGATTCCGTAGGCGACAAGGAACAATTTGTATATCTCAGAATTTTGGAAAAGTTCCTAGTCTTCGAGAAAATCGAAATATTAGTTTTTTGTAGTTCCGCCGCTCGCCGCTAGATGGCGCCACCTGTACCGTTTTCGACCGAATTCGACAAAAATTGATTTTCTGGCTTTATTAGGCATCAAAACGCATCAAACCCTAATAGAAATTTGTTTCTAAATGCCTCAGGTACCATACTACGTCGTCAAAGTGCCGAAATATTATACTTTGCATGCGCAATAGAATTGACATAGGCAGCTCATGTACGTATCGGAATGCTGACACGAAATAATTAATTACTCATCACCCGAACATTATTTATGAACTTTTATGATCAAACCATATAAATAATGCATTGCTGACCATTCTTCAATCATAAAAGTTCACAAAATATATCCACAAATCATTTAAATTGATCGTATCGTTTTGTACCTGTCAAATTTTTCGTCGGTATCGCCTCTATTTGCATACTTACCGATACTGGAATGGCGCGCAATCTAACGACAATCAAACGAATCTCGAAGAAACGCAAACGAGATGTCTACACAATCGCGTCGAGCAGCGTCGTTGACGTAAGGTTGACGGATAATTTCAGTCGTCTGCTCGATGCGTATGGGTGCGATGATGTTAAGCAGAACAATGGCATAGCAAATATAACCTTAATTAAGCATTCGTAGTACGAGGTATTTGTTTGTACGAAGCGCCGAGTCATCGAGATAAAAAGACGCGATGGACGGTAAAGAAAGTTTAAAAACGAACGAACAGATCATCGAGGAGCTTACAAAAGATCTCGAAAGTTCTTGTATCAAGGTAGACGAAAAGTCCGCGTCGAACGAAGGTGCTGAATCAACATTGGATAGTGGTGACTCAAAAGACAGTGATGGTAAAGTCGTTACAGAGAGTGGTGACGATGAAACTGAACAAGATACGAACGTTCCGAAAGATTTCATCGACGAGGAGTCGTTGAAAGACAGGGAACTTACTCTTTCCGAAAGCGAGAAAGAGGTTGGTATTTGTCAAACATTCTAATCTCGTTGATCAAGTTAAAATTTCATTGTGAGATTATAGGCATATGTAATTATAAGCTTGTGTAATTATAAGACTAAGGTTTGTACTGTTTTTAGACTCTGAAGGAGGAAGCGGACAAACTAAAAAACCAGGGAAATGATTTTTTTAAGAAGGGAGACTATACAGAGGCGGTATCCATGTACACACAAGGGCTGCAGACCTGTCCACTGGCCTACAACAAAGAAAGATCCATTTTGTACGCTAATAGAGCTGCAGCAAAATCAAAACTCTTGGTAAAAATTAGTTTACATGAATCTATTGAGTCAAAACATTTAGACATGGTTCATTATAAAATTCTGTATGATTGTAATTGTTGCAATTCACAGGAAAAGGAACCCGCCATATCTGATTGCACAAAGGCCATAGAATTGAATCCCGATTATGTCAAAGCCTATGTCAGGAGAGCCCAATTGTACGAAGAGACAGAAAAGCTTGACGAAGCTCTGGAGGATTATAAGAAGGTTCTAACGTTCGATCCAGCACATACAGAATCAAATTATGCTGTTCGAGTAACTATAACAAAATATTTCTCTGTTTTAATCAACTTTTATAGAATATTAACTCTCTATTAACTCTTAAAAAACTTCACATTTTTAGAGGTTACCTCCACTGATCCAAGAAAGGAACGAAAAACTAAAAGCCGAAATGCTCGGAAAGTTAAAGGACCTGGGAAACATGGTGTTGAAACCGTTCGGACTTTCTACAAACAATTTCGAACTACAAAAGGATCCAAACAGCGGTGGTTATTCCGTTAAGTTCCACCAACATCATAGTTAATAAGTAACCGCGATCGGGATACATGTTCCATAAGCGATGAACTGAACGTGTCATGGAACATGTTTATAAATACTTATGTTAATTCTATTCGAATGTGTGCTGTTCGTGAAGCGTAATAAAATTGAAACGAAGCTGTTCGACGTTCCATGAAAAACGTTCTAATTCGCGCACTAATGAAACTTTTCGTTACTTCATCGCCTCTACTTGCAAGACAACTTCAATGACTGTTAAACTTTCAGAAAATGCAGGAGAAATCTTCGCGAATCAGCTCCTATAAAAGTAGAGGTTTGAAGGTACTTGAGGTATTTGTTTCTGCAGTTTTCTTCTAGCTTTAAATAAAATTTCTATCAACACGTTTAACCATCCTTGTCAGAATCCTTTGTCGGAACGTCCATTTTTCGACCGATATGGTAGGACACGATAGATAACGAAGAATTTAGAATTTGAGGCAAAGAAAAGATACGATTCATCAAATATTTCGTTGTTTTCGGGAATGTGAACTATAAACGTTATTAATGAGAAGCTTTCTCGACACTGTCATCGATCGAAAGTTCGTGGCACACGGGACGTGTTCGATCAATATTTCTGTCGATCAACTACGTTGTAAACAATAACAGAAATAATGAAGAAGGTAATGGTTGTCGCTGTCAATCGCATACGTTTCCAAGTTGACACTTTTTATACAAATTTTCTGAATCCCCAAAATATCTGCACTTGAAAATTACCAGGTTTTAAAGGTAGAAATTTTTAAAATTAAACAGCAGCTGATGGGAGTTCTGACTTATAAACTGCCTTGCGCATCGACATAAATTTCCCCTGCTGACGCGTACAGTTTCCATGTTAATTACGTTTACCCTGTGCACACATCTCTCGGAACTTTGAATCGTTGGATACAAATCGTTCCTCCAGCGGCGCACGCGTATTCAGGCGGTGACATTCGGTGTGTCAGAGGAACGAAAGAAAAGAAGGTACAACGAATAAACGTACGCGTGCGTGTGCGCGTGTACGTAGGTGCGCAAGAGAAGGGTGAGACCGAGGCAGTGGTTCGAGGGTGGTACGACTAACGCGTAAACGATAAAGGGTGTATCGGTCGATCGAAGATACGAACGGGGCCAGCGATCGTTAAAGCTGTGTTGGTGAAAAAATCGCGTGCAAAGGGTTGAGAATAAAAAACCGGGTTAAGAAGAGAGGGTGTGTGGATATCGCTGGATGTCCGGAAGCTAAGTACGTCGAGCAAGTAGACAGGGGTTGAGGGTGGTTCGGTAAGCAGGACGCCTACCTAACCGAGAAAACGAGGACGCCACCAGCGTGAAACGGCGCCGCCTACGCCTACGCGGCGCGAACACGCCGAACGCACCCGTAACCCACAGCTTTTATGCAAATCGATAATTCGAGTAGGACGCGGCGACAGTGTGCTACGACATCCCCAGTACAAATAACGTAGATCGAGTCGGTGAGGAGAGTGACGCGAGATCGGCGGTGACCCGTCGTCTTCCGTCGCTCCGGAACGCTTCGTACGCACGCGTTCGCTTGCAAAGACGACCTCGGGTGGTCGCAGCGGACTCGAGTCGCCTGATTTTGCTCGTACTCGCGTTTCGGCGACCGGTGTCGTCTACGACCCACTGCCGAACGATGTGCAACGTCGAGAAAGGGGTAAGCCGTCGAGAACCGTGTGTTACACGTACGTGGTTTCGCGTTTAACGATCGCTCGAATTGGGTCACTTTCACTGCCACTTTGTTTTGCACGCGCTTTACGACGTGTCATTTTATTTATTTCGTGCTCAGTATCGAACCGTGAGCTGCCTAATCATTCAATCGCGTGACAAGCTCTCTTTTTGAACGACTAGTCGCGTGTTTTATCGCGAAACACGTACGTTACGATAAGCTGCATCGACACTTCCTGTAATGCGATCGAATTTTATCGAGCGCCTGCTTCTTTTCGTCTCTGCCTTCCCTAAGAGTTTGCTCGATTCTTTCGCTCTGTCAAATATTGGTGGGTCAAATTCGAGTTTACATAGTGTTCACTCACGTTAGACGCGTGTCGAATAGTTTGAACACGTGGTTTTAAATACGTAATTATACTATCAAGCGAGAGCTGCCTTTTTCCATTTTATCCACCGAATTGCATCGATAACGTTTGGCGGTGTACGCGAGCGTTTATTATGATCGATACCGGGTCCGAAAATATTTTAATCCTTCCCCCATATTTGATCCTACGTAAAGCCATCTGGCATTGAGACGCTGGTAACGCAATCGACGCATCGAAACTTACGTAACGTAGCATTGGACCACGCGGAGATTATGAACGAGAAACGATCATAGCTGAAATCGGTAAATACTGTTTCAGTCGGGAACGATGAGGTACCGATTGCGCGATTCGCGACGCAAGCGATGGCCGTTGCGTTTGGGTCTGTTCCTCGTGTACGTGTTGGTCCAGTACGTCACCTCGGAGAACGTGAACAATACAGAATTGTCCTCCACCTATGCCCCGGAGGTCGAGGAAAACTTGACGTCGAAGATCCCCGTGGAGTCCACCACGATCGTCATAGAGAAAACGACGCCGCCACCGCAAGAAACAACCACCGTGCTACCAAAAAAATCGGACATACGCGGACAATCGCGAGATGAAAGACGCAAAGATACGGGAACGCATCTGCCGATTAACAACGTTGTGAGAACGACCACGGTGAGGTCGCGACACGATACACTTTGCGTTTATCTCTCTTTCTTTTGTGGAGACGGAGGTAAACTGGACCGTAGCGCCTACAAGAGATATTCGTTATTCGAGATTCTAGGTTCCGACGACAACCACGATGAGATACGACTCGTACTCGCGTTTCGGCGACCGGTGTCGTCTACGACCCACTGCCGAACGATGTGCAACGTCGAGAAAGGGGTAAGCCGTCGAGAACCGTGTGTTACACGTACGTGGTTTCGCGTTTAACGATCGCTCGAATTGGGTCACTTTCACTGCCACTTTGTTTTGCACGCGCTTTACGACGTGTCATTTTATTTATTTCGTGCTCAGTATCGAACCGTGAGCTGCCTAATCATTCAATCGCGTGACAAGCTCTCTTTTTGAACGACTAGTCGCGTGTTTTATCGCGAAACACGTACGTTACGATAAGCTGCATCGACACTTCCTGTAATGCGATCGAATTTTATCGAGCGCCTGCTTCTTTTCGTCTCTGCCTTCCCTAAGAGTTTGCTCGATTCTTTCGCTCTGTCAAATATTGGTGGGTCAAATTCGAGTTTACATAGTGTTCACTCACGTTAGACGCGTGTCGAATAGTTTGAACACGTGGTTTTAAATACGTAATTATACTATCAAGCGAGAGCTGCCTTTTTCCATTTTATCCACCGAATTGCATCGATAACGTTTGGCGGTGTACGCGAGCGTTTATTATGATCGATACCGGGTCCGAAAATATTTTAATCCTTCCCCCATATTTGATCCTACGTAAAGCCATCTGGCATTGAGACGCTGGTAACGCAATCGACGCATCGAAACTTACGTAACGTAGCATTGGACCACGCGGAGATTATGAACGAGAAACGATCATAGCTGAAATCGGTAAATACTGTTTCAGTCGGGAACGATGAGGTACCGATTGCGCGATTCGCGACGCAAGCGATGGCCGTTGCGTTTGGGTCTGTTCCTCGTGTACGTGTTGGTCCAGTACGTCACCTCGGAGAACGTGAACAATACAGAATTGTCCTCCACCTATGCCCCGGAGGTCGAGGAAAACTTGACGTCGAAGATCCCCGTGGAGTCCACCACGATCGTCATAGAGAAAACGACGCCGCCACCGCAAGAAACAACCACCGTGCTACCAAAAAAATCGGACATACGCGGACAATCGCGAGATGAAAGACGCAAAGATACGGGAACGCATCTGCCGATTAACAACGTTGTGAGAACGACCACGGTGAGGTCGCGACACGATACACTTTGCGTTTATCTCTCTTTCTTTTGTGGAGACGGAGGTAAACTGGACCGTAGCGCCTACAAGAGATATTCGTTATTCGAGATTCTAGGTTCCGACGACAACCACGATGAGATACGAACGCGCCACTTGGAGACCGCGGCGAGAAAACTGCTCTCCGCCGGCCATCGAACAGTTTCCACGACCGCTGATGGGGCCAAACGCTAGGAAACACGGCGGACTGATCATACACATTCTCGTCGCTATTTACACGTTCCTGGGCCTAGCGATTGTCTGCGACGATTACTTTGTTTCCAGCTTAGACAGAATCTGCGAAGGTAAGCAGACTTGCGGATCGATTTTGCCTGAGGGCCAACAGTTCCGTCTTGTTTTCGTAAATACTCGTAGCAAATTTTTGAGGAGATAGTTAAAAATTTTCTTTCCAGAACTACGACTGTCTCCGGATGTCGCCGGCGCGACCTTCATGGCGGCCGGCTCTTCGGCGCCTGAGTTGGCGACTGTGGTCATAGGAGTGTTTTTCGCCAAGGACGACATTGGAGTAAGCGAAATTGAAACATTTTAGCCAGAGCATAATGATTCATTCATCTTAATAATATTCATTTAAAATTCATAATATTCATTTAATACTCATAATATTCATTTAATATTCATAATATTCATAATATTCATTTATAATATTAATAATATTCATATGCGATTATAGGTGAGCGGAGTTATCGGTAGCGCAGTGTTCAACATAATGTTCGTCATCTCCGTCTGCGGACTGTGTACCACGACCGTGTCCAAGCTGAACTGGTGGCCCCTCTGTCGAGACTGTTTCTTCTACGCCGTCTCCATCCTCGTGATGCTCGGTACAATTTACAACGAATCGATATCTTGGTAAGGTCCGCAAGATCCGACTCTCCCTCAGTAATTGCAGCTATAACGCACTGTCTCCTCGTAGGGCGGAGTCCCTGTTCATGTTGATCATGTACGCCGTGTACTGCGTCGCGCTGTCCTTCAACGCGAGACTGGAACGTTGGGCAAAGTCTTACGACATACCGTTCCTACCAAAGGACGACGAGCCTGCGGAAGAAAGCGCCCTCGTAAGCTACAGGTCGTTGCAGGAGGATCGGCTGTCTTACACGGGTCCCAGCTCGCCGGTCACGGATCAGTTCGACAAACTACCAGAAGGTAATCAGATCAGATTTGGGAAGCTAGGAATATCTCTATATGAATTATTTTTCCGTAGGAACAGGACCAACCGGACCCACTTCGGAAACGGGCGAGCAACCGCCACCCCCGAAACAGCCGGAATACTACAAAGCGAAGGAGCCGGACCCTAACGAGGCATCGCCGTTGGAGAGGCCCGTCGACGCCACCCAGTGGACCCTGTTCACCTGGGGTTTGGTTTACCCGATTCACTTCTTGTGTCGGGCCACCATGCCCGACTGCCGGCAAGAGAAGTTCCGAAACTGGTATCCCTTCACTTTTTGCGTATCGATGGTTTGGATCAGTTTCTACAGTTACATCATGGTATGGATGATCACGATTATAGGTAAGCTACACGCCTGACCGCAGATCTGAACGATCAGCGATTGTTTCTTCACACGTTTCTCTCGTTTTCTTTCATCTCTTTGCGCTCCGTTTCGGCTCGGTTCGATTCGATTCGCAGGCAGCACCCTCGGTATACCGGACACGGTGATGGGTCTCACGTTCGTCGCGGCCGGAGTCAGCGTACCTGATGCTCTCTCCTCGTTAGCGGTGATCAAAGAAGGACTCGGGGATATGGCGGTGAGCAACGCTGTCGGAAGCAACGTGTTCGATATACTGGTTTGTCTTGGACTTCCTTGGTTCATACAGACGGCTATGATACAGCCGGGTTCGCACGTCAACGTCACCAGTCGGGGTGAGTCGTCAGATGTGTCAATTTCAAGCAACTTTCTGTTCAGGTGGTTCATAGATAAATGTGACATGCGATAGTTACAAGTATGTTTGCAAGTTTATATAATAGGAAGATGAAGCTTTGTTTAATTATCAAAACCACATGAATAGAAAGTGAAGAAATACATTTGAATAAAATAAAATTGAAGTATATTTGAATATCTAATTGTTGATGTTTGTAGGTTTGACGTATTCCACGGTGTCCCTGCTGTCGACTGTGGTGTTCTTGGTGCTGGCGACTCACTTGAACGGCTGGAAGCTGGACCGACGATACGGAGTGGTACTGATGCTCTGGTACCTGGTGTTTATCGTGTTTGCCTCGCTGTACGAGCTAAACGTCTTCGGCCAAATGAATCCTCCGGTGTGCCCGAGCGCGTTTTAAACCGGCGCGACGTTGCGTCGCGTTTTTCTTCCAATCCTTTTCTCTCTCTTTTCTCGGCTCTGCTCTCTCGCCCACTCGGTCCTTCTTCTCTTTTCTCTATCTTTGAAAATCCTGCCGTTGCTCGAGTCGGTACCGAGGAGAAACACAGAACGAGAAGCAACGGCTAAAGCGAGAAAGAAAGCGGTAGGGTTACTTCGCTTTGCCTTGGAATTGAAGCGCGTCTTCGAAGCACGTTCTCTTTCTTGGTGTACGCGTCGACGTCGTCGTTCTGCCGTTCGCGGCGAAGAAGCGCGCGATTCGCTCGAACTTGAATCCCTCGGAACGAGCTACTCGCGGCGAGTCGATCTCGTCGGTTGCGTCCGCGCGATTGAACGTCTTCTTCCGAAAGTAAAGCCGCGGGAATTTTGGAATCGCTTAAACGGACAATACATTTAACAGTATTAAGAGAAGCGATCGAACGTTGAAAGTTCGTTAGGCGATGTAGCGTGGATGCAGAGAGGATCGGTTTCTCGATCGCGCGGTTCGATCTCGTCGAACACGCGATCGACGCGACTCTCGTTGACCAACGCGATTAACCTAGATCGTAGCCGTAGCCGTAAACGTTACGGGTAGCTGTGTTCGCCTAAATCTAGTTTAAACGAGATATATATATATATACACATACATATACATACATATACATATATATATTATACGCGCGTATAGAAACTTTCTTCTTCCTTTCATCGTTTTATACTTTTTTATACTTTTTGCTCGTTCGACTCTTCCCGTTGTTCTCTGTGTCGTGTCGTATCGGGGACTTTTCCAGTTATCAACGTCTCGTTCGGGTTTCGTCGATAGTTTCTTTGGCGATTTAGAGAATTTCCTCTGTGCACGAACACGCGTTGACTAGCATTTTGCTCTTATCGTGTAGCGAATAGACACGTTTAGGAATAGATCGGTTATGGGTAGTATACGAGGGACGCACAACCTTTCCAACGTTTTTCGATCAACGACGATTCTTTTCGCATTTTGTACAATCGTTTGTCCGTCCGCGTGTTCGTTCGTTCGTTCGTTCCTTCTCGCTTCCTTGTCCTCGTTTTCCTAATCTAGAAGGATAGTCCAATCACGAAGATCTCTGAAACGATTGTAAGTCTGAAATCCCGTAAAGCGCCTTATCGATCGTCATCGAAAGATATTCAATGGCAGACGGTTTCCACGAGGTTCGAAATTTATTCTTCTACGGTACAAAGTGTTTGGAAGAAAATTAGATCCTTCCGTCTGACCAGCGTTTTGTTCTCACCTTTTACTTTGAAGCAACTACCGTCGTAAACGTGAACGAAGATCGTTGGTTGGTCATCGAACGAACGATCGTACTCGCATCGGCGAAAGACAAGGACACGCGTCCCCGGTGCGGTGATCGAACGGACCAAGGAGCAAGGGCAGCTCGAGGGATCGCGAAGAAACGCGCGGAAGCGCGGTAGACCGGTTCGCGAAACGGAAGAAGCCCGAAAGGAATGCGCGAGATCTCCAACGAGCACGAGCGATGACAAAAAGAGACAATAATTAACGCAGCCTTATTCGATGAAAGTATCTACAAGGTGTTACGCTGCGCGATCCTTGAGATCGTTTCCGAAATCTGTCCGTCGATCGATCCATGCTACCTACTCTAGTCAATCCGATGCTTCGTATCCAACGACATATTTCTGTCCATCAAGTTCGAACGAACGAACGGCTGGGTCGGATCCGTCGAGGATCGCAAGGGTCGCGCAGACGTTTTAGCGTAAAGTATTATGTGCGCTCCTATCGATGTACGTGTACACGCGTATGCACGTAACGTATGCGTACAAGTAGGATAATATAAGAAGCTTAAATTTTTATGATCGTCGAACGCGTTTGTTCGCTACCGTAGCTTCGGACGAATAGGTGCTAGGACCGATTTCGATTGAAAGATTCCAGTAACGCGGTCGAGTGCGCGAGTACGCGTTCGTCGATCGACGATTTCGTTGGATGAAACCCATCACTAGATTCGCGTACTGTATCGCGTACAGGATCGAACCCATCGCTAGACCGTTCGGAAATTGGCGCACGATAATCGACGAAAAGGCTATTAAAAGTTGTCACGATCAATTAGTAGAATATATCTATATACAAATATATATACACGTTAGCTAGATAGACCGCGAGAAATATCGTTCAACGCAGGGCTCGAAAGTTTCGATCAGTACGGGAAACTTTTGTTCCCCGTAATTGCTTCGAAAGCCCTGGTTTAACGCAACTGCGATCAATTGTTGGGTGCCCTTAATACGCGTAGCTCGTACGAATCAAAGTCAATACGCGCGATACGATCGAACGTCCCCTGCGTTTCGTTGTGTCGAAATTCGTATACCCGTCCTTCGGACCTGCTGATCGTCCGCCAGTTCCCGAACGTTCGGAAATGTTTATTCGATATCGGTCAAGTTTAATCGTTGACCGTGTAACCGTAGATTTTATATCGTGTACGCGCGTATACGCCTGCGTATTATTCGTGTACGTCGTAAGCGTTAGATGTAAGTATACGTTTAGTTGGTCTTCGCGTCGTTCTTCCCGCGCAATATCTGCCAGTGTTCGCCATTCTTTGGGTCAATAATTAGGTATTCGTTGCGCGTTTGACTAGACACGTTTCGTTGACATTTTTTCCCCCTTTTTTAGACCTCGCACGATGTTCGAGCGCTTCGCGCGTTTCACCGTTATCGCGTTCTACAGGAATTAAACCGACGGCGAATTTTGACTCCTTGTTCGATCGAGTAGCGATCCTGATCGGAAAGCGTAGAATCGCCTAGCATTTTATACCACGTACATCAGTAGCGATCGAGATCGATCGTACTTGTAAAAGTAGAATTAGATTAAACGATCAACTGCAACGACTCGTCAACGATGAACAAAATGACGGAGAACGCTTTTACAACGAACCATTGACCATTGCGAGGTGATCTCGGACAAGATTAATTCCTGCGGAATCGCGAACGAGCCTCCCTCCGTTCACGTTGTTTCTCTCATTGTTAGAAACACTTCCAGTCCTAACGCGTCAATACGTCTAATCATAGTATATTATTACAACGTTATGTAAATAATTGTTTTACCAATGTCCTAAGAAGATAAATAAATATAAATATTAATATTAATACAAGTAAGTAAATAAGCGGTCGACGAAGTAGCGAGCGATGTACTTAAATCAAAAGTTAAGTTGGAACAAAATTGCCGTTCATTTAATCATTTTCAAAGTCGAGATCTCGTCGAACCGCAAATCCGAGGAGCGGTTATATTGCTCGCGTTATTTAGCTCGACGAAGCTAAACAGAGATTATAGAATGCGCAAAAGTAGTTGTACATAATATATTCCGATGTATTGGAAAAGTTGAAACAATAAAAAAACGTTAGCATCGAGGGTCGAGAACAGTTCACTCCTTTCGAATAATTTATCTTTATTCTCTTGGTAAATGAATATACAAAGTTTACATCTAGTTTACTTGCTTATACGTTGCGTCGAATAATATTGATACGTTGCGACGATAATAATGTCGCTGTTATGATCGCGCATACCATTTTTCTTTTTCTCTTTGCTCCGTTCGCTCCGTTTCATTGGTTCGCGTTTATTAACGAATAACGCGGTGAAGAAAACGATCACGAAGGACCACGTTCCACCGACTCGATATCCTCCGAAAGGAGAAGCGTTCGATATCGGTGGAACGGGGGAAACGAATCAAAGAGCGACGCGACGCGGCGCGACGGATGTTCGAGTCAAAGAACAAGAGAAAAATGGAAGCTGTTCGCGGGAATGAATACCTTTGGTATCGGGCTCCGTGAGCATTCGAGAGCGCGCAAAGCGATAGCGTTTAACTGCGAATTAGAATAAATACCAAGGTTAGTCTAATCAGTCTTTATACAATTATTCGTACGTATCCGTTGAATTTTTCGCGCCTTTCGTCGCTTCCTTCCATCGTATATCCTCGTTCTTTGTCTCTCGCGTTAGCCGGAAATTTCGTTCGGCAATTATTTACAACCTTCGGAGTATTCGTGACAACGGGACACACTCGTAACAACACGCACTCTCGATTCACCCTTCTCGTCGTGGTTTTCCCGCAATCTCCGAGATTCTCATCGGTTTCCTGACCTGACCGTACGCGCGATTCGCTCCTAGCCGGACCTAAAACGAACAGAACAGCAAACACGCTGACGATAAAAGGTAAAAAAATATTTCTGCGAGACGCAGCATCGATATGATCCAACTTCATTTTTCCGAAACTTTGTTCGTTGCTACTATCGCTGTTGATATTTTCTCCGCTTCTAGCACTCTTCAGATGGCGATGATTGGCGATGACGATGACGATGCGATGAGAACGTAGCGATGACACTATTTTTCTATCGTCGTTCTCTTTACGATTAACTTTCTTACGATAAGCAAGCACGAAACCGAGACACGTAATTCCGCGTTCTACTATATCGAAGAAGAAGGCGTTTAGATCGCGCGTCTAACGAACGCACGTGTGCGCGTGAAAAAATATTTTCAAGTACAGCAAAAGCAGTTCGATCGTGGTTTCGAAACGCTTTCACCGCACTCGTTTCGATGCTTTCGATCCTAGAAGAATAAATTGGAATCTTTTCGAACATGCTCGGGGCAGATTCGACTAATCGATCCTATCGCGGAGAGGAGTATCAAAAGTTTCAGGGATCACTCGCAACGTTTAGAAGCCTAAACAAAGATTTCCGAGGTTCGGCTGCTTTTGTCGAGCGACGCTCGATCTACTATTCGCGACGATATCTTACACGCGGTACTACCGCTTTCACGAGGGCTAATGTTCGTGAAAAAATAAGAAAATATCTATGAAGGATATCCTTTCGAGGGATAGAAAAAGCGTTCGCGTTCGCGACGCTGAAACTAGCTTCTGCTAACGAGGCTACGCGGACACCGGAACGCGATCGATCGCCGCCATTTTCAAAGATTCACGCGAGATATTTCGCTAATTTTTTGCTCGTCAAATTTATGAACGGCGTCTCTCGGTTCCGACTCCGTTTTGATCGCGGAAAAGTGCGTAAAAAATACGATTTAAACCCCTACGGGGACAATCACGTATAAAAAGACACCTGTACAAGTTTGGTTTGTTCGATGTCCGTCGAATTACGCTCTCGATTCCGTGTTCGCGAAATACTACGGGTTTGTACGCACCGGCTTGACTGATAGTCAAAAATAAATAAATAGTTTCTCTGGCATTTGAGCGGCGTTCGAGACGCTTTTGCCTACGCATCGTCGAGAGGCGATCGCTAAAAGATTCTGGGCGAAGATCAGAAGAAACGGAAACTCTAAAGATTGCTGTCTATCAAAGTGTGCCAAGTTATTTTCGCTAATCGGTGCATTTACTTTCGTTAAGAATCGCCTCTCGTCGCGTCGGCGATCACCGACGCGATTTAGAAACATTTTGTACTCGCGGACACCCCCGTCCGCGTTATCTTGTATCTTGGAAGGAAGATCGGTCGTTTTCGATATTACGTACTCGCAAGGAGCAAAATATCCGATGTTTTTACGAACGTTCGTTCGCATCTATCGATCGTTTTATCCAGGTTTGGGTACGTCTCGCGTGCGACGGGACAAGTAAACTCTCGAGACGCACGAACAAAAACGAAAACGCGTTCGGGAATCGTGAGGAACGAATTGACGCGGTATCTCGATAGATCGTGCAAATCGACCGCGAGAGAACAAAGCGGGTGCTTTTCGAACGCTCGAATTCTCGCGGAACGGGACTGGCAGTCGACGAAATAAGCGAATATCATGGAGATCCGAAGACCCTCGCGATCAATGGCAGTAACCGTTCGTCCTCGAACGCACTTTTAACGACCCGCGACTCGCAGGTCGCGCTTACATGCCTACCGATTAATACTAGTTAACCGGTCGCTTTGCGACCAATCCTTACGCTATCCTTTATTCCTTCGTTCACTCTTCGCCGTGTTTTTCAACCTTACGGTTCTATGTACAAAACCAAACGAGGAATAAACAATATTACAAATAAATTAAATTAAAAGAAACAATTGGAAAATAGCGAATAGTCGAACAGTTCGTTACGGACGAATCGTCCGTAAAAATTTCGAAAGAAAAATTTCCAATGTCTCCTTGTAACAGAAAATAGACGAACAAAATTTACAACGTAAGAATGTAACTTCGCTTCGTCTCCGTTTTGCCGGTACCCGTTGAAAACGTGAGCTTCGAAGATGGAAAAGGTTTCCGCGGATCCGTCGACTCGGTATTATTGGCCGAATCGTGAACAGCCCCGTTATCGCCGACTCGCGGAAGATATGTTTGACGAGTCCGTAGATTTTTAAATACGTGGTTACAAGTATACGTATACGAATATGTATAATATGTTAGAGTATAGATCGTCGACGCAGAAACCCGACGAACGCACGGATGCTTGATATGGAAGAACTGTAGAGAATTCGGTCGCACGGTGCTCGTATTAAAAATAGAAACGTTACGCGTCAGACGTTGTTCTCTTTGGTGCTTGAATCGCGAGGGGTATGATATGTAGCGGCGTTGGATAAAGTATACGAAATTCCGTGCGTCTAGAACGCGAAAGACGAGAGTCGAGACTTTGAGAAACCTTTCCGGTCTTCGAAAGCCTCCGAAGCGCAAGTCGTGTCGCGAAAAGCACTCGCGGGACCGGAAACGGGAAGCGAAAAGCGGAGATACGTGATCGGCGATCACCGATTCGTTCAATGAGGCAAACACGTGTCGGAATCGCCGCTGCTGGCCATGGAGAAGTTAGCCGAGTCCCGATCGGTCTGTCGGATCTGAGCGGCGGTGGTCAGCTTGCCATTATTCTGCGGCGCTTGGGGAAACGTGTGGTGTCCGGGCAGCGCCCAGGGCTGCGCGTGCAACTGTACAGGGGGGAACCTCTTAACGAAGGGGTTGCTCTGCGGGATCGGGTGCAGCAGTCTAACGCCGTTGTGATGAGAGGGCAGGGTGGTGTGCGCGGGGACGGTCGCGTGGACCTGGGGCGGGACGAAAGCGTGTCTGGGCACGGAGCCGCAGCTCCCGCTCGTGCCGGCCATGTGCG